ATTCTTCCAGTTCTCTTGTCAGAGAGAAAGGTTGAGTGGAATTTCCACTTCTTCCTAAATGTGAGGAAAAAGGAAGAGTTTCTCCAAATGTTAGCTGTATCCCAGCAGTGCCGGGTGTCCCCTTGGGATTAGTTATAATTAATTCATACTGGCACAGCCTGCCTGGATTGAGTGACTTTCCCCAGAAATATTCAGCTGCATTCTGGACTGAACAAAGATAGTGTTTTCCCAAATGAATATGACAGAGAGAGGGACTTCAGAACTGAGGTATTTCCAGACAGCAATTATAGTGATATCTCACAGAGATTAAGATGTAAAAGAGTGTACAGATGTGTGGGCCTGACCCACACAAGCTCTGTGGAGTTAAATCCTCCATACCAAACAGGGAACTTGACTGAAATCTACTTACTTTTTCTTTCCCTTTCATTTCTTCCCTTTCCTGTCTCCTCCTCCCAGTTATTGTCTCTTCCTTCAGTGAAATTTTCAAGGTCCAGAAGGAAATAGGCACAAGGTAACATAGAACATGACATTGTCACTTATAAAGAATCCTTACTTATCAACCCTTAAGTTCTTTACACGGAAAACGCGCTACCCAATTCATTTAGAACCCACTTCCTTGCTTCTCACAATACCTTTGAGAACTTCTAGAGACTGAAGGAAAGAAGGTCCCAAAGAAAACAGGTGATTTTCTCATTATCTCTGCAAAACCTGCATTCCAATTCAAGTTTTCCAACTGAAGACCTGCCTTGTCTTCCAAATGAGTGATAGCAGGGCTCCCCAATTGTTCTAGGAGACAACTACATCTGAATTTCCAAGCTTAACAGGTCACAATTCTAAACCTAATATCCAGATCCAATATCAAGTTATTATTAAGAATGATAGCTGTCGGGCTGGTGAGATGGCTCAGTGGTCTAAAGCACCTACTCAGAACAAGCTTAGCAAAGCACAGGGACCATGGTTCAATCCCCCAGCACCACATGCCAGCCAGCCCCGCCCCCTGGTGGGCTGAGCTGGCCACATACAAATAAATAAATAAATAAAATTAAAAAAAAAAAGAATGATAGCTGTCTTATTGAGACTTTTACCCCAACTAATTATTGATGAGGGTTGTTTTATAGTCTATTACCTAAACTTTTGTTACAGTTTTATCCTCTAAAACTTTACCAACTAGGTTCCAAATAAGTTTTCAAAGTTAAATTAAAAAGGTAAATATAAGGGGCTGGGGAGATGACTCAGTAGAATAAGTGCTTCCCTGGCAAGCGCAAGGGCCTAAGTTCAAACCCCGGTTCCACAAAAAAAAAGAATAAAAAAATGTAAATATAAACTGGGTGCATTATGCTCACCTATAATCCCAGCTACATGGGAGGCTGAGGCAGGAGGATAAAAAGTTCAAGACCAGCATGGACAGTGTAAGCCCAAGGTTTAATCCCTGGTACCAAAAAAGAAAACAAGCAAACAAAAAAAGAAAAGAAATTGCTAGAAACCGTTATTCCCACAGTGTAAGAGTGCCTCTGCATAAATCAGAGCATTTCAGTATTGAGTGCTCAATCACACACATGCAAAAATGTGTTTCTAAAAATTATACTACTGGTAAATTAAATAGGGTGAAGGGAAAGACTGAAGACCTGATGCAGAATAAACTGAAGCTTTCAGTCTCATAATACAGCCTCAGTTCAGTTTCTCTTATGACAATGCCCATCTTCCTAAATGCCTATGTATGAAGATGAGTGGCAAAAGAATAACAAATTAATTATTCCTCAAATTGTAAAAAAGGCATTGAACTGCATTATTCTTAGCCGGCCAAAAATGGTGATAGATTTTTTTTTATTAATCTCTGCATAGCACTGCAACCCTCAAAGCCATTTTAGAAATAGTCACTTGGGACTCTGTTAGGAATTCTGAGGACACGTTGGAAGACAGGACAAATAGAAATGAAAGGTAAAATATTTCCTGCGCACTCTAACCCCAAAGGAGTCTGTGGTACTGGGGCACTGAACCGAGCTATGGCCTCAGCAGTGAGGCCAAGGCAGGTTTATGAAAGTTGGAGAGTGGGCCGGGGAGATGGCTCAGTAGTAGAATAAGTGCTTTCCTGCCAAACACTAGGGCCTGAGTTCAATGCCTAGTTCTGAAAAAAAAAAAAAAAAAAAAAGAGTTGAGCATGATGAAGTACGAGGAACCCCATGGGCTCTTCCCAAAGTGTGGTGGCTTTGGCAAATGATCAGATCAGTTTCAGCAAGGAGAGTGACAGCTTGGACACCAACAGGCTCTCTGACTCCCATGATACTGAGCATTTTTCCCTCCGACCAATTCATCCCATGTAATAAACACTTAATTATATCTCTCATTTACCAAGCAATAGGATTATTAGACATAGTACATAGGTTAAAAAGAGACCCTCAAGGAGCATGCAGTTGAGTAGAGGACATACCAGCAAGTTCAACCAAGACATTACAAAAGTTGATACAATCATAAGGCAATATGCCAGCAGCAACAGAATTAGAAGGCATGCCTAAGAAAGATCCCAAGTGTGCAGATTGCAAGCTGAGTTGATGTGATTCTTAAAATAATTAAAGAAGCAGTAGGAGTTTACTAGATAAAAGGAGTTGAAGATATTTTAGGTAGAGAAAACAACACAGGTGAGTTCCACAAATATAAACTAGGGCTGACATAGAGCTTGGTGGTAGAGTACTTGCCTAGCATGCACAAGGCCCTAGGTTCAATCCCCAGTACCATGGAAGGAAGGGGGAGGAATGGAAGCGGGGATAAGAGAGCAGAAGAGAAGAGAGGAGAGAAGAGGATAAGAGAGGAGAGGAAAGGAGAGGAAGGCAGGAAGAACCTCCACTTTGCCTCATGATTTGACGAGGACAGAAGGTACAACTGTAGGCCAACTGAAAAGAGCTTAATGAAGTAACTATTTCCAAAGATTCTAAGGGCACTAAAAAGGATGGTGCCACATTCAGGAACAGCAACAGCCATTAAGCATCTGCCTAAAAGAGGCAAGTAAGTAGAATGGTATCATCAAAATCTGAATACAGGCCAAAGCAGGAGGAGGATCTTGAGTTCATATGTAGCCTGGTCTACATAACCAGGTGCTATCTCAAAGAAAAAAAAAAAAATCCCTGCTGACAGTGTAGTTATGGGAGAAGCACTCCCAGGAGGAATACAACCACAGCCCAACAAAGACAGTCACAGCCTGACAGAGACGAAGGAATAGGTGCTGTTATGACTTATGTCTAAATGTCCCCCCAAAGCCTCATGCAGTCATAGGCGGAGCTTTTCAGAGGTGGCTGGATCTAGGGCGCCTGCTGCTGGGACAACGATGTGATGCTGGGATTGATTTAGGGTGCCAGGATTAAGGCTGCCCCTCTGAGTGTAAGTGCTACCCGCCCATGGGATGGTAGCCTGGATAAGACAGAAGAGACAGAAAGAGGGTCACTGATGGTCACTTATAGCTTACTGCTTTTCTACTTTCTGCCTACCATAAACTTTTTCCTTCAACACGCCACCCTGCCTTGGAGCCAGCCAACTACGAACTGAAATCCCTACCAATTGGGAGCCGAATGAGCCTTTCCTCCTTTAACTTTGAGCTTTGCCTACCTTGTCTTAGCAACAAGAAAAGTAGCTGAGACAGGTGCCCTGATTTCTCTTTCCCTCGGTTGCCAGCCACTAACCTCTCTTGGTTGATCCCTACCGCAAGGCAGCGGGCGAGGGAATGTGGGGAAGTTCTGTTGTACAGACCAGCTTCCTGAGGCCTGGGAAAGAGTGGAGGCTAGACCCCGGGAAGCGCATCCCACGCTCATGTCCGTGTCCAAACAGCATTCTGATCCTTGAGATAGTTTTGCCTAAGAATATACTTGTAACTAACACTGGAGCAAATCCTTCTTGGTTGGTATTTCCATAGAACAAAGGATTTAAACAATGGAAACATACTGGTCGGGGCTGGTGAGATGGCTCAGTGGTCTAAAGCACCTACTTAGAACAAGCTTAGTTCAAAGCACAGGGACCGCGGTTCAATCCCCCAGCACCACATGCCAGCCAGCCCCGCCCCCTGGTGGGCTGAGCTGGCCGCGCGCGCACATACACACATATATATATGTAAAAATTTAAAAAAAAAAAAAAAGAAACATACTGGTCATCTTGCTGGAGGCTGGAAGGCGGGGGAGTTTAGGGTGGCCGCGTCCTGACAAGGCCTCTTGTGGCTTGCTGTCGCCCATCTCCCATCTCTTGCAACCTACGGTAAAAAGGACCATAGAGCGCCCTCTAGTGTCTCTCTTATAAAGGCACTGATCCTAGGCATGAAGACCCCGCCTCACACCCTGGATTACATCGCAAGGACCTCGCCTCCTAAAACACCATCTCATTAGGGATCAGGATTTCAACGACAGCTGAACATGCATTCAATCCATGATACTGCCCTGCTTTTCCTAACTGTCAGAGGAGGCATTTGCATTACACGACAAGAAGAGATGTTTAAGGGGCTGGCGAGATGGCTCAGTGGTCTAAAGCAACTACTTGGAACAAGCTTGGCAAAGC